TTACTATTTATTATTATTATTATTATTATTATTATTATTATTATTAGTAGTAGTAGTAGTATTACAATTATAATAATGATATATATATGCAATAATAACAATAATAATCTCCCGTTTGCACTTTTAAAGATTGTCTCTTATTTTTTTTTGCTTGACAAAATGGAATTTTCAATGAAATAAATAATTAATTAATATTAAGTATCCTTAATTAACAAATATTGAAAAATTACAAATGATTAATTCATTGTAATACTTTGAATTCATTAATAAAACAATTAATTTATAAAATTAATTTATAAAAACAATTCATTAAATTTTCAAATTCATATTCATTTTCTCATTTAAAATACTAATTCAATTTTTTATAATCACAAAAATTTTTTGTTACCTTTAAAAATTAATTTACTATTTTATATTATTAATTTGGAAAGAATTTTTTTCAGAGATATTTTTGCATTTCTTTCATTCATTCGATTAGTACTTTGTTAATGAATGAAAACTATTTGTTTTAGCATTTAAAATTTATTTAATAGAAACCTGTTTTTTGATGTCGTATTAAAATAAATGAATTATTTTAGGCTTTAAAAATCGGACCATAAAACTAGACTAATTAATATAATGAAGCGGAAACTTCCTTTTTTCTTTCCCATTAACTAATGATTTTTTGTTTAACGTCAATCTTTCCTTCTTATCTTATTACAACTATCATCTAACGTTTTTGTTTTTCTTTCTTTCGGTATTATTTTTTTATCTTTTTTAAATTTCTATTTCTTTTTCATTTCCATCACTTATTCATTAATTTTTAGTTATTCAGTTATTAAATAAATATTTACTAATTAATTCACTATTGTTTTTGCTTATTTATTAATTTTTACACGAAATAAATATTTGATAACATATTGAGTTATGAAATACAAAAAAAAAAGATAAAATATGAATAAATAATTATTTAATTCAAATAAATAAATAATTATTATTATTTGTTAATTTTAGTATTTTATCTTTTTCAAGTTATTGCAATAAATATATTCGGTTAATTTGTATTAATTAAAATAATTAATTCGAATACATAATATTTGCCAAATTCAACCAATCAATACAAGTAAAATAAAAATTTTTTATTAAACAAATAAAATGTTAATTATTATTAGAACTTTTTTCATTATTAGAATAAGATCATGTACGTAACGTACGTAATTCTTTAGTCCTTAGTTTTAAGAAATTATTACACAAGAACACTTACGTAACGTAATTCTTTAGCCCTACAGTTTTAAAAAATTATAACACACGAACACTTACGTAACGTAATCCTTTAGTCCTTAGTTTTAAAAAGTCATTACACAACACTTAACTAACTTACGTAACGTAATTCTGTAGCACTTGTAACACTTACGTAACGTAATTCTTTAGCTTTATTGTTTTAAGAAATTATTTAAGAAGAAATTGTTACACAAAATTATTTACGTAACGTAATTCTTTAGTTTTATAGTTTTAAAAAAATTGCTCAAAAAAAATTGTTACACAAAATCACTTATGTATTGTAATTGCTTAGACCTATAATGTAAAGAAATTGTTTTAAAAAAATTATTACACAAAATTTATAATACATACATGTATGGATTAGATATATATCGGAATGGATAATCATTAGATTTCGAATTTCTATTTACAAAATTTAATTCTTAATGATAATTTTGAAAACAATGAAATGAACAAAAGAAACATACAATTGAACATTTTACACTTTTGTTTTAATATTATTTTATAAAAGATATTATTACTGTAAAAAAAATTCCAAACTATAGTACCAAATTAAAAAAGAATTTTTTTAAAAATGTTCTAGAAAACTAATTAATTATTATAATTAAAAACTAAAATTTGGGAGTAAACGGAAGACAAAAAAAAAGGTTTAATTTCATTGAATTCTTTAATTATTAATTTTAATTTGTAAATCTTGCTAGAATTTAAAGCGCTGAATAATATATGAAATTATCATTTCAGGCCTATTAGTTGGATAATTCAATAATTTAATAAAATAAAATTAATAGCAGATGAGAAAATAAAAACAATAGCAAACATGATTATACATTTTTTAGCCTAAAATATTATAAATTGAAATTAAATTAAATTAAATTAAATTAAAATTTTAGAATTTTTCAAAAAGAAGAATTTCAAGATTTGTTAAAATTTAATTATTAATAAATATGCAATATTATTCTTGCAACTTTATTGTTCGTACTTCTTTTGCTCATTTTTTGTTGACAGCTTTATGAGTAAATTAAAATTTTAAATTCGGATTTTTTTTGAATTAAAAATATTTCATATTATTTCAATCATTTATTCAGTATTATTATTCGTGCAATAAGCTTTCACTACTACTCATTCGCCTTGGTAAAAGCCGCTTGTTTGAAATGTTGCCACCGGTGAGTCATTAATATGACGCGTATAGCTGCTTGTTATTCCATAATTCTGCAAAATAATAAGAATGAAAAAGAAGAACAAACAAATCAATTAATTAATTGATCCGATTTTCGTAACAGAAATTTTAAAAAAATCGTTTTTTTCACTTTTAATTTTAAATTTATCAATTTTAAAGCAAATGATATCTGTCAGTAAAAAAAATCAAGTTTACATTAATGCACTAAATAAGCTTTCAGGTTTCTTCTTTGAAAGAAATTTGTAAATGATTTTTGTTTTTGATTAAATAACAACAATTTAAACTAATTGACAGCTATGAAATCTATATGAAATTGATAAAGAAATAGTCGTAAATAATTCGCAAAGCAACTATGAAAAACATTTAATATAAAATTTAAAAAGTTACCTGTGGGAAATATTTATTTTATTGTTTTATCAAAATTCACTTGATAAAACAATAAAATATTTCCCACAGGTAAAGGACTTCGATAATCTTTTTATTTTTATGCAAAAATATCTTCGGTTATTTTTTTCTTTCCAGCTGATTTCATATCATTATTTCTCCAATATAATGTAATTGATAAGTTTAAATATTATCAAAATTCTATTTGATTATTTCTTCAATATAATGTAAGTGATAAGTTTAGATATTATCAAAATTCTATTTGATTATTTCTACAACATAATGCAATTGATAATTTTAGATATTATCAAAATTCTATTTGATTATTTCTACAACATAATGCAATTGATAATTTTAGATATTATCAAAATTCTATTTGATTATTTCTTCAATATAATGTAAGTGATAAGGTTAAATAGTTTAAATGTGAAAGTTATTTTATTGTAGAACAAAGCGATTTCACGTTTTTGCAACGAAATGAAGCGTTTGTGTCATCCGGAGAAGCGAAAAGATTTTGTATCCGAGGCATACTTATTAACACTTGGAAAGACATTGAACATGTTTGCAGTGCTTGATGAGTTGAAAAATATGAAAGCATCGATTTAAAACGATTTTTCTACATTTAGGATTATCAAAATCCTGTTTGATTTAAAACTATTTCCCATTTAATAATTGTTGAGAAATTTTTTAAAATTCATATTTAATTTTTAGCAATTATCAAATTTTATGCTTAATATAAAATTTCAAAATTTTCATTTCACATTTATTTTTCATAACTATCGGACATTTTGTATGAAATGCAATGCAACTGCCATTATTATAATGAATGTCTTCTTTATTATTAATAATAGTAATAATAATATCAAAAACAAATGATGCAATATTGAAAATTAAAATTTTTAATTATCATAAACGAATACTTCGTAATATTTTAAAAATAATAATATTTGAAATTTTGTTTTAAGAAGGAAAGAAAATAATCTATAATGATAAAAACACATAAAACAATATATGTTAAATTTAAACTTTCGAAATTTGAAATTTAAAAGATTAGAATGTAATTAGTAAATTGTAATTATACCTCATTGTTTACTGCAAATGTTTCACGTTGATCGTCGTAAGATGATGGATTGATGTAATCATTGTCTTTTGTTAAAAAGAAACGGGTCAAATTTAATTGTTGTATATCAAAAAGTGTTGCAAGGAATAACATCATACATGATAGGCCAAATATCAGATAAACTAAATTTTTCACTAATTAATTAGAAACAATTTGAAAATTTTGCAAATTGTTAAAATAATGTAAAATTTTCCGCCAATTAATATTCATTAATTAATATTCAAACTAAATTTTTCACTAATTAATTAAATAAAGATTTGAAAATTTCATATTATCAAATATAATATTCACTATGGTTTTAATTTTAACAAAAAGCTTTTCATAATTAAAAAGTATAAGAAATATTCGATTTTTAAAATTAAAAAAATTCTTTCTGTAATTTTAAAAATTTGCTTTTAAAAGTTCTATAGCCATGGAAAGATATTAGAAGTTACGGGGCAATATCTGCAAAATTAAACATTGAACTTTGACATATAATATATAATATCGAAAAAAACTTACCTGTTACAATAATTTTATAAAAAGTTCTGAATTGTTGATCAGGATGATCACCTGGCACATATTCGCCTAAAATTTTAATATTACAATTATCATTTTAATTAAGTGTTTTATCAAATGTTCTAAAAATTAAATTTTAAATTCTTATCATATCATTTATGATATATGCAAAAATTAAATTTTAAATTCGAAAAGAGAAAAATTTATAATCAAATTTTTTTGATAAAACACTTAATATATCATAAATGATATGATAAGAATTTAAAATCTAAAGTTTTTATTTTAAGAATTTAAAACTTTTAAGAATTTAATACTGGAAATTATTGGAAGAGAAAAGGGAATGGATTTTTTTTTTTGCATAATTAAATTTTTCCTCTTATCTTATCAAATTAATTAAAATTTACCCAAACCGATAGTTGTCAATGATACAAAGCAATAGAAAAATGAATCCAAAAAATCCCAATCAGTTTCAATTTTCGTAAAAATATACGACGGTATGATAAAGACAAATATTAGTAATAGCGTACATACAAAACATAAATGAAATATCTGAAAGTTCAAATTTACATTTTATTATTGAAATTTATTAATTTATAAACTGAAACTTCTTTTATAGAGACTTACTCGTATGAATTAAAAGTTAGATTATTTATTAAGCATTGTTTTATTTAATTTTATTTAATAGAAAAATTTATAGTTTATTTAATTTATTTATAGTTTTTATTAGTCATTAGTTTGTTCAATATTAATTAAGGTTCCCTGTAACTGTCAGCAGGTAATGGAAGATCGATAATGGAATAATTAAAGTTAATTGATCAAAAGAAATAAGGAAGATTTGATATTAAAATTGGGTAAGCGAAAATATAAATATAGCAAAAAACTATATGTTTAATTAATAAAACATTGAAGGTGTAGCAAATTTTATTATTCTACCTGTAAAATTTTAATCTTTTACCTGTTTAACGTTGAAGGTGTAGTAAATTTTAATATTTTACCTGTATTTGTTAATTGAATGTTACATGAATATATATATCATTAATCAAAAAATATCCAAGAAATGGAATTAACGCAATTATCATTAAAATTTATTTACTTAAAAAAAACTACCTGAATTTGTGCGTCATGAAAGAGATGGCCAAGCCTTGCATTAAGTTTACATCGTAACCAAGCACTTGGCTCTTTTAATCTTACCACCAATGCTGACAATAATGCTAATGTCATCGGTATACCAATTAGACAGTAAACTATTGTAAAAAATTTACCTTCACGTGTACGTGGTGATACATGTCCATAACCTAATTAAAAAAAAATCAAATGTAATTAATTAATTATAAATGAAAAATTGAAATTTTTTTAACAATTTTAAAAATCAAATTAAAATCATTGATTTAATCTAAAATATAATAAATCAATTAATAAACAAACAATTTGCATAGAATCCAAATTTAAATTAATACAAACCAACTGTACTAATTAAAGCTCCAACAAAAAAGAATGCTTGGCCAAATGTCCAACGTGGCTCTGTTGTTACATTTTTCTCCATCCATATACCTTTTAGTGCCATTAAACGAATATCAGTAAATAATTGATCGATATCATTTCCTGAAATGAGACAATCACTATCATCGAAAATATAATGAAAATGTTAGATTATATTAATATCGTTGAATCATTAAATCTATGAAAATAATTACAGATAGAAATTTAATAAATTTAAAATTTTTTAAATTGAAATTATATATTACTTTTTAATATCAGTATTGCAAATATTATCAATATATATATGCTAATACTTAGGTTATATGCAGGTAAAAATATAATAAT